CTGTAAGCCGATGACGTCATCGTCCCCGCAGCAACTTCCGGAATGGTGACGTCATCGGGCCAATTTTTAACTTCAAATATCTCGAAAACTAAAGCTGCACAAACGACAGTTTTTACAGCACAAACCTGCACAAACGGAGCACTAACCATTCTGACTATTTGATGAATTTTTTGACGTGGGTGGGGTGTCAGCTTCACTCAGATCTCGACTCAGTTAGCTTAAAGAAACACATAAATGTTTCATCTGTAAAAACTGATGTCATCGCTGTAGTTTCATTTCCTGGTCGACCTGAATCTAAGAAGTCTTTTTGTTGTGATTTTTATTTTATCCACWTCTTAAACATTTAATTTGGATTATTCTTTAAAAAATATTAAACCGCAAACTTTCTCCTTTTTCTGTGTGAGTGGCTAAAACCCTTACTGAAGCAGCTAAGACCATGTAAAACAGTAGCTAAAAGCTAAAACAGTCAATGATAGCTAAGACCATGTAAAACAGAAGCTAAAAGCTAAAACAGTCAAAACAATGATAGCTAAGACCATGTAAAACAGTAGCTAAAAGCTAAAACTGTCAAAACTAATAGCTAAGACCATGTAAAACAGTAGCTAAAAGCTAAAACAGTCAATGATAGCTAAGACCATATAAAACAGTAGCTAAAAGCTAAAACAGCCAAAACAATGATAGCTAAGGCCATGTAAAACAGTAGCTAAAAGCTAAAACAGCCAAAACAATACCTGATAGCTACGAGGCAACTTATCCAAGGTACTTTTTAAATTTCAAAGTACTTTTGCTTATCTTAGCTAAAAGCTTAAACCAACAAAACAATAGCTAAACGTCAAAATAAGCAAAAACAGTTGCAAAGAAGCTAAAATTAGCATAAAGCAGATAAAAGCTGCTTAAAGCTAAGATTGACAAAACAGTAGCTAATAACTAAAACTGGCATTACACTAGATAAAAGCTAATGTCAAAGGTTTATAAGCTAATAATGAATTTAAAAATGCAAAGTTTTGACTTTAATGTCCTGAATGAGCTGAACATGTTTCCAGAGGAGTGGGTAAAACAGCTGAAAGTATAAGACTGAACCGTAGATAATCCTGGTCATCAGGTGTTTTCCAGGTGACATGATGAGAACATGGTGTCGGGGTGACACAGCACTCCTGTGTTTCCTCTAAAGTCACCTGTTCTGTTCCGTGTCTACAACATCAGAACTTCATGATGCTCATTAGCTTCAGATCAGTGCTCAGCAGGTCACTGGAGAGAACTTTATTTATTTATTCAACAAGTCCGTGTGACCTACCTACCAGCACTTCACATTTCATCTGCAGCGCTCCATGCTGGTGCTCCAACCCAGCTCCTGCACAACAGAACCAGAACATAAAACACATGCAGCTCTGAAAACTAAGAGCCGAACAACTGCTGAAATTAGCTCAAGGAACTGAGCTGGTAGTTTCACAGCCGAAGCTAAAAGGAGCAGAAAGAAAACAAAAAGAGCAAAATGCTGGATAGAAGTTATTAGTGGCAAAAATGACATGTCAGTCAAAAGCTAATATTACTAAATGCTAGGTAAAAGAAAAAATAGCAAAAAGCTAGCAAATTGTTGCAATAAACTAGCCAAAAGCTAACAGTAGCTATATGCTAGCTACAAATGTAAATGTACCAAAATACTTGCTAATAAGTGGAAGATGTTAGTCAAAAGTTAAATATACCAAAATTCAGAGTAAAAGCTAAAGGTATCAAATAACTCAATGCACTTGCCAAAAGCTAACAGTAGCCTTATGCTGGCTAAGAAGTTAAAAGTATCAATACACTAGCCAATAGGTAACAACAGCTAAATGCTAAGTAACAGCTGAAAGTATCAACACACTAGCCAATAGCTAACAACAGCTAAATGCTAAGTAACAGCTGAAAGTATCAATACACTAGTCAGTAGCTAACAACAGCTAAATGCTAAGTAACAGCAGAAAGTATCAATACACTAGTCAGTAGCTAACAACAGCTAAATGCTATGCAAAAGGCAAAAAGAAGAGTAACATTTAATCTGAGCTGTACATTAGTGAAAAGGTGTTGACAATGTTGTGGAAAATAAAGTTTTTAATATTAAAAATTATAACAAACATCAAGAACAAACTGTTTCTTCTGTTTTGAGGCCGTTTCATCTTTGATATTAGTGTCAAATATTAGATGACTGATTTAATTACAGTCATTGTGTAAAAGTTAAATAAATATTTGAAGTCAAGGGAAGCCGATGTTAAAATTTAAACCACACTTATTGTGAAGCTGAAAGCTGGGCAGGAACAGGAGCGACACGAGCTCAGGGTCATTTCGATGTTTTTGTCGTCTGAACACACGTATGCAGGCTCAACACAGGAGGGGAAGTTCTGCTGCTTCCTTCCAATAAAGAAGGAGAAAACGGGTCGGATCACCTTCCTGTCCRGAGTCACCTCCGTTAACCTGCTTGAATAAATCAAAGATCTTAATTTGACGTGTTTCKGGAAGTTAGTTGTCTTTAATTAAAAATAAAAACAAGCATGTTTGTTAGGTTTGAAACTCGTGTGCTGGAGCAACATGTTTGAAATAAAACGTGACGGTAGAAGACGTTCCTGGGCTGCCTGTGGACAGGTTTGTCCTCTCAGGGAGGATGTGCTGGTTCCTGGAACTGATCAGGWCTGTGTACTGTAACCCTCGCAGCACGGAGGGTAAACACTTTACTACCAACAAATAAAACCTGATTTATTCTGCACTTTCAGAAGATCTCCTAATATTCTGCTTTTTGTGAAATGCTGCTTCACAAGATGTGCTTTCAGAAACATGCGCACCCTGAAGGAGTCAGAAACTGGTGACGTACCAGGTCAGGTGGGTCACATTAACCCAGCAGGTGGACCAAGGACTCCTGGAGGTTTTGAACAGACCTCACCTGAGTCCTGAAAACACTAACTGGGTCCAAACAAACGGAACCATCCAAATGTAACAACTCCTTCTTTCAAAAGCTTCAGGTTGTGTCGACATGTTCAACACGACAGGTCTTGTTGTTGTGTTTATCTGTAAAGGTCCCTGCAGCATCCCCGGACCGGTCCAGGAACCGGGTAAACACTGAGAGGAGAAGGTGGAGCATCAGAATGGGCAGAGCTTCACCTGTTGTAGAAAACTGTATCCTGGGCTGAGAGGAGAGCAGAGAGAGGACCATGATGGTCAGGGAACACCTGGATGTAAGACATCAGGGAGGGAGGAAGGAGAATCTGAGGGTCTGACAGCACACACAGCTGATATCTACAAGTTTTTGGACCAAACATGGCAGCAGCTTCGGCTCTTCTTCTCTGCACGCTGCTGATGGTCTCTGGAGGCCCGAGTCTGGCCAACGTGGCGACGACAACAACCGTGAGCCCGGCTGAGGTCTCCGGGAACGGCACGGGTCACGGAGCAGCCCAGATCACCGAGTTGCCCATCGTAACGTGGAAGTGGCACCACGTGGAAGCCCCGTACCTGGTGGCCCTGTGGGTCCTGGTCTGCTGGCTCTGCAAACTCCGTGAGTTGTTCCTAGGATTCCAGAACTCTAGCTATGTTTCCTCAAAAACATAAAGCAAGTTTTAAAAAATTACAATCTGATTCTTTTACTTTTTGTTTTGTTGTGTCCATAATTTATACAAAAATCTCTAAAAAAATGCACTCATCTCTTCTTTGACCTTCAAAAACAGAGCTCTCTTTAACACACTGACATGATGGAGGAGCTAACGTCATAACAAATTACATATAACCTGATAATTAATGTTGAATTCATACAGCAATCGTGTAAAACCGATGTAACATATGGAATGTATATTTGGTTATGGTGAGTGGTGATGGATAAACCCATATGAGTGGGGGTCTCCACAGGCCTCCCTTGAAAAAGGGATCTGCGATCTCAATGGGACTTGCCTGGTAAAATAACGGTAAATAAATAAATAAAATAATAAATACAGTGGGTCCATTGCTGTCCCCAAAAAGACACTGGTCTTTATTCAAACCTCATTCCTCGARTGAAGSTCACCAGGTTAGAAACACTGTGTTCTGAGCTTCTCAGGATCCATAAAAAGGTTCTCCAAGAATTCTTTTCCTTTGATCACTCAGAGCCAGGCAGTGGCCTAAGCAGTGTAAAGAGGTCTGTAGTTCAATGCCACAGGCATCACACAGACCATTGCCATGGAGTCCCATCACCTTTTTGTGGCAGTTGAGCAGATTGGGCCCAGTTAGGACTCCAACCAGTGTACTTAGAGTTTTCCTCGACAGGGCGATGAGAGCTTTCCCAAACCTTAGATTTGGATCATTAATCAGTTCCAGTGCCTGTCTACAGTCCATCAGCTCCCTCCAGAGGATTGAGTGTTGAGGTCTAATCCAGGCCTGTAGGGCAGTCCTACAGACTGTTGTTGAGGTACCTACAACAGGCTCTTGTCCTTTGAAGTGAGCCTGACTGACAACTTTTGTGGGGTAGTCAGCTCTCTGGTTACCATAAATGCCAGTATGTCCTGGTACCCATTTAACACTGAGTAACACTGTTATCTCTCCCCAGTTGGTTGAGGCTTCGGCACACTCCCAACCAGTAATGACATAAAGTGTGGCCCTCGGAGAGCTCAAATAAAAGCTTCGCTATGTGTTAGGAAGGATGAATATTTTCTTCTGTGTACACTGAAGGTCTTTGAGAGATGCCACACACTGGTGGATTGCATATATTTCAGCTTGAGATACAGTTGGAAAACCACATGGGTCTAATGACTGACTTCCAATGAGTTCAAGACTTTTTAGCTGGTTGAATAATTCTAACTTCAACTACTTGATTTGGAGCTAATTTTTGGCAGAACAATCATCTACTTTCTGTAGAAAACAGAAATTTGTAAAACTCAATGGAAGTAGAGTCTAAGCTCAAGAGATGATTGAGTATTTTGGGGTTTTATGCGTAGCTTCTATAGATATAGATGGTGGATTCTCAGTCACTCATGGCATGATGGTCCTGAACCAGAAGCAGCTGGACATCTTCTCTTTATTCTTGAATATATTTCACTTCTCATTCAAATAGATTCTTCAGTTTTGACGGTGGGTTTGGAGTTTGAGGCCTAGAAGGTGGTTGTTAGAAAGATCACAATAACACGCCTCCATCATGTGAGTCCATGACATGGAAACCAACAGGTGAGCTGTTCTGGTCCCATGTCTCTAGTGTGGATGGTTGTGAGAGACAAGTGTATTCTGACAACACAACTGGATGGAGATATGTGTGGTTACTTGAAACTCCTTCAAAATAAAAGCTGGAATTTCAGCTACATTCTTCCATTTGAATGAACTTTAGCTGACAGAGTGAAACCAAACTCTCAGGTTTCAGCTGCTGCCGGAGTCTAACAAAAGTATTTTTGTAAACAGAATCCTGCAGATGAAAACCAGCTGGAAAAATGAAAAGAACCTCAGCTAACCATAGATTTTTTTATTGTCTTCACATTTTTCCATCGAGTCCTGTTTGGTGTTGCTCCTAAAATATTCGGATCCCTTCAGCATGCAAGATTTAATGTAAGGTTAAAGTTACTTATTCAGTTATTGAAGAAAAGACCCACAGCATCAATTCCAGCTTTAAGTAAAGCTGCCAAACAAGCTGGTCTGGGTTGAGAGTGGGAGGAGACGGTGGAGCATCAGCTTCACCTGCTGTAGAAAACTGGATCCTGGACTGAGAGGAGACCAGAGGACCACCCAGGAACACCTGGTTGGAAGACTGAGGATCTGGGTGCACAAACAGCTGAAGTAAGAAGAAGTTTTGGATCCAAACATGGCAGCAGCTTCAGCTCTTCTTCTCTGTGTTCTGCTGATGTTCTCTGGAGAACCGGGTCTGGCCAGCAAGGAACCATCAGCCGTGGAGCTGGCTGAGATCGAGCTCTTTGTTTCTGTGAACGAAACAAGCAACAGCTCTGATCCTGTGAAACCAAACATCACCACGGTGCCCATCGTGATGTGGTGCTGGTACCTGGTCCAAGACATTTTACCGGTGGTCCTGTGTATCCTGATCTGCTGGCTCTGCAAAGTCTGTGAGTCCTGATTGGTCCTTAATAAAAACTGTTTGTTTTTAATCTACCAAACAAAAATGAATTTCTTATTTCCTTTAACTCTTCTTTATTTTTTCGACCAATGACTCAAACTCAAAACAATCAAAATTTTCCAACAGAATAAATTATTCTGATTAAATTTAGAAGTTGAAACACCAACATGAGGAGCAGGACTGACTCATTCCTGTTAGTTTGAAATCTGACAGCAGCAGGTAGATCTACGATGCTGTTTCACTCACATTTTATTATTTGTCTCATTAAGAAAAGAAAGAAAGAACAGATGGAGCTTCTTACTGATAGTCTGAGTAAAAACTGAGGTTAGTCTTTGTTAGCATGGACACCTGACCAGACTCAGACTATAGTTAGAGAGTATAGGTTCCTGAGACCATAGGTACTGGAGATCATAGGTTCTGGACAACATAGACCATAGGAACGAGACCATAGGTACTGTTGTCCTTATCGTTACATGGTACAGTAGGTACTCAAGAACATAGGTATTATTGTCCTTATTTTTATGTGGTACAGTAGGTACTCAAGAACATAGGTATTATTGTCCTTATTGCTACATGGTACAGTAAGTAGTCGAGAACATAGGTACTATTGTCCTTATTGTTGCGTGGTACAGTAGGTACTCGAGAACATAGGTACTATTGTTCTTATTGTTGCGTGGTACAGTAGGTACTCAAGAACATAGGTATTATTGTCCTTATTGTTGCGTGGTACAGTAGGTAGTCGAGAACATTGGTACTATTGTCCTTATTGTTACGTGGTACAGTAGGTACTCAAGAACATAGGTACTATTGTCCTTATTGTTGCATGGTACAGTAGGTACTCAAAAACATAGGTATTATTGTCCTTATTGCTACATGGTACAGTAAGTAGTCGAGAACATAGGTATTATTGTCCTTATTGTTGCGTGGTACAGTAGGTACTCAAGAACATAGGTACTATTGTCCTTATTGTTGCGTGGTACAGTAGGTACTCAAGAACATAGGTACTATTGTCCTTATTGTTGCGTGGTACAGTAGGTACTTGAGAACATAGGTACTATTGTCCTTATTGTTGCGTGGTACAGTAGGTACTCAAGAACATAGGTGCTATTGTCCTTATTGCTATATGGTACAGTAGGTAGTCGAGAACATAGGTACGATTGTCCTTATTGTTGCGTGGTACAGTAGGTACTCAAGAACATAGGTGCTATTGTCCTTATTGTTGCGTGGTACAGTAGGTACTTGAGAACATAGGTACTATTGTCCTTGTTGCGTGGTACAGTAGGTACTCAAGAACATAGGTACTATTGTCCTTATTGTTGCATGGTACAGTAGGTACTCAAGAACATAGGTATTATTGTCCTTATTGTTACATGGTACAGTAGGTACTAAAGAACAAAAGTATTTTTGTCCTTATTGTTACGTAGTACAGTAGGTACTCAAGAACATAGGTACTATTGTCATTATTGTTGCGTGGTACTGTTGGTACTCAAGAACATAGGTATTATTGTCCTTATTGTTGCGTGGTACAGTAGGTACTAAAGAACAAAAGTATTTTTGTCCTTATTGTTATGTGGTACAGTAGGTACTCAAGAACATAGGTACTATTGTCATTATTGTTGCGTGGTACAGTAGGTACTCAAGAACATAGGTACTATTGTCCTTATTGTTGCGTGGTACAGTAGGTACTCGAGAACATAGGTATTATTGTCCTTATTGTTACGTGGTACAGTAGGTACCAGAGAACTTAAGTACTTTGAAACATAGAAACCACAGATGATACTGTATACTGTAGATACTGGGGGAATGCGGTGTCCCTGAGCAGAACCGGTCTCTGCAGCAGGTCTGTGGGTTTCATGTATTTTAATGCTTTAAACCAGGTCAGCAGCAGCTGCAGCCGAGCTCGCTGTGTGGAGATGTGAGCTGAGAGGTCTGCCGTCAGCCGGACTCTCTGAGCTTTTAATCATTGCAGAAGAGTCATGGCTCTGAGAGCAGAAAGGTCAGCATTTATGGGAGAACCGGAGGTCAAACTGAAGCTGCTACTGTAGCTTCAGCTACTCTGTTCTGAGAAACATGAGCCCTGAAACACGCCGAAACAACAAGTCACATGTTTTAATTCAAGTAAACAATAACTGATAGTTTATAGAKCTGAGGTCTAATTAATGAAAAAATTGAATCAGATCAGCTCTAAATATTTTTCTGTTGTTTTTTCTGTAATCAAACTCCCGTAGACTTTGTGCTAATTTAGCCGTTCGTATATCAAAAYGTTCAGCTTATTCAGCTTTCAGCTGCTGAGACTTTTGGTTTTTGTAAGTTTTATACTTTTTAAAAATATTTAAATTCATTTGCAAATATTTTCCTCAAAAAATAATTTTAGATCTCAGAACGCCTTCGTAATCATGGTTCATTTTGGAATCTGCTTCAGCTGCTGACTCTAATTTTAGCTTCATTAACTACTGTTAGCATTAAGCTATGCT